GGGTGCTTCTACTAAATACTGAGCAAAGGGTCTGAATACTTATGACCATGTGATATTTCAGTTTTTCTTTTTTAATAAATTTGCAAAAATTTCTACATTTCTGTTTGTTTCTGTCAAGATGGGGTGCTGAGTGTACATTACTGAGAAATAAAATGAACTTTTTTGATTTTTGGAAAATGGCTGCAATGAAACAAAGAGTGAAAAATTTAAAGGGGTCTGAATACTTTCCGTACCCACTGTATGTCAGAGGACGCACGCCTCTGGAGCACCTAGGGGTTAAGTGTCTTGCTCAGGGACACAATGGTGTCTTACAGTGGATTCAAACCCTGGTCTCTCACACCAAAGGCATGCGTCTCATCCACTGCTCCATCACCACCTCTATCTCAAAACGTTTTGCACCAGTTTGCAACATTTTCAGATTGAACAACATGTTTCCTTGCAACATTGTCCAACGTTCCGCACCGGGCTTCGAGGCTCATTAAGTTTTCTCCCGTTTGGTGGGCGTGTCACAGGTGTTGCCCAATCAGCTGCAAGTTTGTGTTTAACGGTGTTAAAAAGACAGGGAAATGCAGTGCGCTTGCGAACACAACAGGGTGTTCAAGGTACCACTGTTTCTGTTGAAAAAAAAGTTTTGCTAGGTTTTGTCAGCGCTGGTTTTGCAACCAGGAAGTGCAAGTAAGTGACCATATTTGGACGAGACGGTGGAGCTAACGGCCGTGTGTGGAGCTAGTTAGCTTGCTTAACTCGTGCATCTGTAATTCACGTTAACTGTCATTTTAACAGGGCTGACAATTTTGTCTAGTGAACAACAATCTTAAAACTAAATGTACTCACCAGTGAAAGGGAACAGCCAACTTCAAATAATCTTTTTCAGTGGCGCTGGTTAAATTTACACAGTGCCGTGGGTACGAGTCACTCTAGTCTGATTGACAGGTCGCCATGATAACGACTTGTCAATCACAGATGATCCAGCCCTGAAGCATACTCTGCTTTATGGTCTATTTTCCTCTAAATGGGACCATAATTTACTAAATGAATATCATGTTGTATTGAAGAAGACATGAAACTAGCGATTGAGACCATAAACTCATTAGGAAAGTGTTTACTGAGGTATTAAATCAGCTGAGAAGTAGGGTCATTTTACCATTATTTGTAATGGAACCGGACTTGTTTTTGCCAACAGAAGACTCGCTGTAGAAAAGGCTCCAAAGTTATGTTAGTGTTGGTATTATTTAGTACAGCTGACCATATTGGGCTTTGCGGTTCACGTTTATTACACTCGCCCTCTGCTGGCTGTTAAATAGAATGCAGGTTTAAAGGACTTTCCCCATTGGATTCACGTCGCAGACCAGTCCAGAAGCTTCCCGCTTGGTCACTAACCGTATACAGTATATACCATCATGCATTGCAGTGATAGAAAAAACAGTCAACCAATTGTCTGAAAGCAATGACGTAATTAAAGGCGCAGAGATAATGATCGGAGTGGTGTTCGTAAGTGTTTAATTTTGCAGTTGAGCTCACTATATAGTCCTCTACATACGACTCACTGGATAGGGAGTAAGGAGTAGTGAATGAGTGGTTTTTAAGTTAAATAATTTTACCATTTGCTTTTCTTTTCTCTTCCAAATAAGTATGACAAACCTGTTTAAAACCTGTCTGACTGTCTCATTAATATATTTGTTGGCCCATTGCACCTATTTATAGCAGAGTTGACGTGTTCCCAGATTTCATCAAATACTTTAGTGAGTACAACGTAATTGGAACGGATAAAAGAAATGACCACAGATCCGATAATAAAACCCAAGACATAATAGTTTTCCTTTAAATGGCCTAAAAGCCAACTGCTTCTACTTAACTTCCAGGGAACTGTGCTCTAAGATACTTCTACTGGTAGAGGAACAGTGAGTCCATCGAGGCCTATTTAGTGTTCTACAGGAAAGACGGTGGTTTTAGTCTTTCCCTCGAGGTTAGGCAGACAGGAGAACATGTACCATGCAGGGGGTTGTCACAGTCAGACAGTAAAATATCACAAATGTTAGGAGAAACCTAGCAGGCTGCTCAAACTAAATTCTTCTCACTAAGAAACCCTTGAACAACATCCAAGAAGTGACCTAACCACTAATGGAGTTGGCACAAATGTCGCCAGGCAACTTAACTCCCCTTTTTTGTAGTACAGGCTTAAGTAATAACCTTCAAAATTCATAGACAAGTGTGTTGTTTAGATAATAAAACTAAATAACCTCATCACGTAAAAGCAAAGCCTTATGAACATTTAGTATGTACAGGGCCCAGTGAGTCTCTTTCTCTGAGCTGTCATTACAGGAGGGATGAACCTCATGGACGTGTTCAAAACCAGTCGTATCTGATGTGAAACATTTTTTCCACTGGCCCACATGGCCAGTAGTTCAGAATTTTACTGGCCCAGCAGCCAAAGAATGAAAATAACTATTTGTTTACATAATTTGTGATAGCATTTCAGCGTAATTTTGGCTGAAATTAGCACTGAACAGCAGCAAATTAAACCGAAAATGAGCATAACATAGGACCAATAAGTCGTTCATGCAATAACTTATGAATTACAAGAGTTACAAATATATAATTTGAATAATACTTAGATACTTGGATACTAATAATGAGAGTGAAGACTGATATCAATCTCATGAAGCTACAAGACGTAGTTAGCTTAGCTTAGCAAAAGACTGGAAGCATTAAGAAAAAGCTACAGTAGACTGGCTTTGTCTAAAGCTCACTAATTAACACCCTGTATCTGTTTTGTTTGATCTGTACACAACCAATATCAACAACCACAATAATTTCTGGTTGTTGGGGAATACATACTATAACTTTTTCTTGACTAACAACATGCTGAGGTTGCCAGATTTGGTACCATTGTGCCTGTACAGAGACCAAATCCTGTGCTCACTGACTGCGTCTGGCAACCCACACTATAGCTAAAGACGCTGTGTGCTTGTAAGGATAAAACAAATAAGACACATTGGTTAATTAGTGAGCTTTATAGGTGTTGGTAGGAATATTTTCAGAGTGATCTGGACTAGTTGTTTCCCCCTGTTTCCAGTCTTTATGCTAAGCTAGGATAAGCATGTCCTGACTCCAGCTCCATCGCCTACTTAACGCACATACATGAGACTGATATCGATCATCTCACTCTCAGAAATCAGCAAATAAGTGCATTTCCCCAATGTTGAACTATTACTTTCAGCAGCTGTAATTTCTGTTTCACTTTACAATCGTTTCCATGTTTTGTTGATGAGTCATCATTAGTTGACTTTGGAGTTGGACCATTAATAATTCTGTGGACTCATCGAGTTCCTGCTTGAGATATTTTATCCAAATGAGTTTGATATAGCCTCGATGTGTCATAGTTACTACAGTGTATGGAGAGAAATGTTTCAAAAAGCAAATCTAACCTGACCTGTAGTGCAGATATATTTGTGAAACCCATTTCAAGGGTAGACTTTCCCCAGTGTGTCATGCTTTCCACTTCCACAGTCTGTTAGGATTTTAAACTGTATATGGTCTTTATGTGGAATTTGTGACATTGGAAACATTACAGGAAATCAAAACTACATAAAAAGAGGTCCATTTTTGTCAAAAGTAGCCGAGCAGACGAACGGCTGAGTCCTGTCTGCAGGCTGAAGGTCAAGAAATCAAATGACTTTGTTTGACTTTCCCAAGCAGTCATGTGTGCCTTTGTTTTGGCGTTTCCTCATAGGAAACTCCTGATTACTGAGTGTAAAAATACACAAGTGACTTCTGTGGGATGAAATCTGAAAAGCTGAAAGTCAACCATTAAAGTTTCTACAGCAATACATAATTTCTCTGCCAAAAACATAAAATGTGTTTACATAAAACAATCCTGTGTTGTCTGTAGTCAAAAAGGATAAGTCATATGAGCATGTAACTGAATTTGTACCGACATGCACGGGTTAATGTGACTTTTGACTTTTAGTTTGCATACAGGGCTGCAGCCAGTTGAAAACACATGCTGTCAGGTGAGACTAGTGGATAAACCCTGTTGACAATCACATATAACTTAATGTGACTGCACAGTGAAGCATGTGGAGGCATCCAAGGGTCTACTGACCCCCCATAGGTTTCTTCTGCAAAATATGGGGCTGTTTCACTCTATAAATACTAAAGAGCATGTTTACACTTAGATGTTTCAATCAGTCCACCCTCAGTCAAGCCAGACAACAAGGAAATAGTTTCAGGGGTGTCAGGGACCAGGAAAGTCCCTGCGCTCCAGTATCCTGTCCAGTAGGTTATGAACTGAAATATGTTCTTTTGATGTAAGGTGATCTTTTAGGGGCCTGGCAGCATGGGGAGCTGGTCATCAACACCCAAAACCAATCACTTTCTCCAGTAAAAAGGGAACTGTCCCGTTGTGGTGTTTAGGCGGTTTTAATAGCCTTTTTTTTTACGAACTCCGTTGATAAATCTATATCAATTTTAAATTGCTGGAGTTTCTCCCAGATAGCCATAGAGGATATAATATTAATTAAGCGGTCACAGAAATGATCAAATGCATGTATTCAGTTCGGTGAGCATCCAGTAGAGGAAGCGCCTTCAAATTTACTAAAACACAACTTTTGAATGACATGACCTGCCGATCCCAGAGGCCTCACCACCTCCCACCACCCACCACAATGAGACATGAAGAGAACAAGCCATTAAGCAATTTTAAAAAAACAAATAATTTGTATAAACTTTAGTTTAATGCCGAATATACCAGAACATTGGCTCAAACTGTAAAATATCTTTGTTAGGTTTAGCTACTTATGTATGTTTTCCAAAAAGTAAGATAACCTTACATTTGGGAGATTTTAATGGAGTTTGGCGTGATGCAGTCAGTTGTCTTTCAATTCATAAACAGATTTTAAAAAAAAACAAAAAACTTTATCATAGTAAATCGAAAGCAAATATGCTACAGAGAAGGGAAAAAAACATTTTAGAAGTAAGAAAAGGAGCATTTAGCCTACCTGTCAGTGAGTGTTGACTGTGTGCCGCTCATTAGGCTTCCCTTAAGAGTTTCCGAGTAGGCTACTTCACCCAAATAACATTTTCATGATAACTTCTGACTCTTGTTTATTAAAAAGGCTCCTTTATTTTGTCTCCTCGGTGTCCGTCCATATCCAAAAATGTCGACGAGTCTTACAACCAGCATGCAGAGTTTAAAAATAACCCGTTAATCTTGGAGTGTTTGCCGGAAAATCCCAAATTTGTCATATACTAATTTCAATCGACGCTGTTAACTCCTAAAATCCACAGAGTTGCAAGAAATTAAGAGATGTGCTACTTTTCTCTTTGGGGTGTGAATGTGTTGCATTCACCAGTCGCTGCAAAGACATCTGGAAAACCGCGATCTACTGCACACAACTTGCTTTGAATGTTTCTCCAAACTTTCTCAGACCAGCTCCAAGTCCAAGTTGAGGGTATCTCTATTTTTCCTTAGGAAATACTTCCATGATGACACCCCAGCCTATTCCTGATGCCCGGGGAAGAATTACGTGAAACTTCGGCTGCTAAATCCAAAATGAACTCTGTCCTCTTATTTCCGTCCAGTGTTCAGTCAGTGCTGATATGGAAGCCGTTTCTGTAGCATCCTCTTCCAGGTCTGATCACTTTAATCCGCACGTATTTGCACGACAGCCTTGTTTTTTTAGCTCCGGAGTGTGATGTAAATGGAAAAAGGAAATGCTTCCCCCTCCTCTCTCCCTCTTTCCCCAAAAGAGTAAAAAGAGGAGAAAAACCCACCTTCCATCCTGTTGCGTTCAGGAGCTCCCCGTACTTCGCTAAACTGTCGTTTAAAACTGCTAGTGTGGTTTTAGTTTTGACTATTACTCACAAGTTTTGTGCAGCTGGACTTTTAATGCAACCTTAGTGGTGGGATGTAACTTATTACATTTGGTCAAGTACTGTACTTCATTACATTTTTGACATACTTGTACTTTCCTTGAGTATTTCATCTTTATGCTACTTTATAGTTCTACTTTAATAATTTCAGAGGGAAGTTTTTACATACAATATGCCTATTGGACATGATGCAGTACTGTAGCCTAATACTATTCTACCCACTAGTATAGAAAATATCTAAAATTGGCTCCTTATTGAGGAACTACAACATTCAAATTCTCTTACATTTAATTGTTAGTGATAAAAACAGGACAGTATATTTTACATAATAAAATAACACTCTGAAAGAAGCCAGTCTGCACAACGAGTACTTTTACTTTTGATACTTTAAGTACATTTAACTGATAACATTTTAGTTTCTGGACTTTTACTTCTAATGCTGTTTTTGGACTATGTTATTTCTATATATGTGAGTACTTCTTCCATCACTGGGCAGCAGATTTCCTTTAAATATTCAGAATATACATATTTACATGTAAATTCAATGCAATGAAAGATGGGTTTATGCAGATATTATATGGTACCAATGCAAGAAGTACTCAGACCTTGTATAAGTTGTACTTAAGTAAAAGTAGCAGTACCACAGTGTAGAAATACTCTGTTATAGGTAAAGGTTCTGCATTCAAATTTTTACTTAAGTAAAATAACAACAGTATTAGCATCAACATACACTTAATGTACTAAAAGTAAAAGCACTAATTATGCAGAATGGCCCATTTTAGAATAATTTATATTATAAAATTGGATTATGATTATCGATGCATTCATGTGTAAACTAAAGTTATCAAATACATGCACTGGAGAAAAAGTGTATTTGCCTCTGAATTGTAGTGGAGTAGAAGTATACAGTAGTATACATGAAATATAAATTGGTCAAGTACACTCACCTCAAAATTGTATTTAGCCTAAGTGCAGTACTTAAGTTAAATCCACTGCATAGAACAGCTTTCTCCTCACTGCATCTTTTCCATATCTAACTGTCTGTCTCGCCAACAAAATCAGTGATGGTAAGTAATGAAGTGCATTTACTTAAGTACTGCACTTAAGTACAATTTTGAGTTACTTGTATAAATTGTACTTAAAGTATCAAAAGTACAGTTACTGTTATGTAGCCCAGTGGTTCTCAGTCTAAGGCTTGTGCCCCTCCAGAAGCTCACAAAATGCTGATTATTGGAAGCAGAAAGACAAAAAAGCAAAGTTCTGCTTTACAGATTTGGATTTCTTGTTTTGTAAAATATTGGATAATTTTATTATTTCAGTGAAACCACATAAGACCTTTGTAGGGAAAAGGTCTACGATAAAAACTCAGACTTCTGGGGCCCAAATGACACACTACTTTTTTTTGCGACAGTTTGCTAACCTACAGCTTAGCTAATTACATCACTAAGTGTCGTTTTTTGCTCTACATCATGGTATTTTTCATGGTATTGTATTTCTCCAGAATTGCATACCCCACCTTTATTAATCTCACTTCTTACACATCTTAGTTTAAACTAATTCCACCTCCAGCAGCTGCAACAATAAAAATGCTGCTCACACACTGATGCATCAGTTTTAAAATAAAATATAACCACAAGTTGTCATGTGAGCTTCTTCAAGAACATGCAGCTTTATTTGGAATAAGTAAAAGTCACAATTTATTTTAAACCAATTTAATACATTTTTATCACCAATATTTTAAACAAATATCAATATGTCCGAAAAACAAATCACCCAATCCTGCAAAATGAGTTAAAGTGGAACTTCAGCCCTTAAGTTCAGAAACTCTGACTCCCGTAGTGTATAACGGCAACTCTAACCAAAGCTCTATCACATATAATGAAATATAAATATTTAATTATTATTACGTTGGAACATTTAGTGTTAGGGAACTAATGTTTGGACTAGTGGGTCCAAAACTATGCTATGACAAGTCAAAATGTCTGTCTTGAAAAAGGTGTGTGAGTGTGATTTATTTGGGAAAATTACAGAAACAAAGAGTTCTCTGGTGCTAACAAAGATATCAAGACAAAAGCTGTTTGTAAGTGCTTTTGTGTGACTGACTGTCCTCTGCTGACTCTTTTTGCAAATATTGACCCTTAATGAGACTACCTAATAAAATAAAGAATATAGTCAAGATTCAGGTTTGCAGAATGTATGCAGAAAGCAACACACAAATGTAAAGTGCAGTACAAGATGGACAGACTTCTGACACAGAAGAAAATAAAAACAGGGGATGCTCACATTTACACTGCTTAAATTACATTGCACAGATTCTGAAGAGGACATCAACCAGCACAGGGTGTGAAGTTTTTTGAATGGGACAGGGTTATTTGTTTGACTGTAAACTGATTTAGAAGCTATTGTGGGTTGACCGAATGAGCAATGATCCATTGTTCTTTTGTATTAGCTCAGTTTTTGATATAGATATTTGTTATTTTTGTTTCTATTACTTATTTTACGCATTGTTTGTGATTTTTATGCGCGACTTGACTATGGATCTACCTGTAGGTGGCAGCACCGCGCCTGCAGAGAAGAAGATGCTCTTGGAGTCCTATATCAAACGAAGAAGAAGATCCACGGACAGACAAGCCGCAGCTAGTTAGCAGAAAACATAAACACCAGTACATTCTCGAGGAGATCGGGTTATTTTTGCAGTTGAGCGTTTGTTTAATATGCCACAATTTATTGCAGAAAAAGTACACGATGAGGTAGTTTAGCTAAAACTCTTATGGTCAACCATGTTTGTTTGGATCTCGGGATTACCAAGGCCCTGCTAACGGATGGTAAGACTTGTTTTGGCTCGTAGAGGAATAACAGTTAGCTAGCTTACTAGCTAAACCAGCATCCATCGCAAAGGTTTTCAATAACGTTAAGCTTTAAGGATGTTCAGCCAAGATCTTGCGTCTTGCTCTAAACATTTTGCGAATGTATGTTAACGTTATTGCAATATTATTATTATTATTTTTGCATTGCCGTGGTGTATAGTGGTGCAATTTAATGAAACTGCAACGTTACGTGTCTGTTTCCCGTTGTAGTGACAGAATTTGACCCAGAAAATATAACAAATAAGTGTTTCTTTGCTTGTCCTCAGATGTCGGACACTGGTAATAACTAACGCATAGGTTGGTGATTATGAGGGCGTTATGCTACTTTCGGCATATGAATTAGTCTCTTCGCAGCATTTGAATTTAATATAAACTCCACTTTTGTGTGGTTGGCCTTGTACGCCCACAATGTTTTGTTATTACTAAGATGGCCAGTGGCTGGCAGCACTGGTCAGTGTCAGCAGTTATAAAGACTGTATTATAATATATGAGAGCCTGGTGTATATTCTGTAAATGCGAACAGACGTGGTTCCTACCTTAGCTCCCTTATTCATTTAATTTAGTTAGTTAAAATTAAACTGCTGGATTTGTAAATGGAGTTTGGCATCATCTCTTTAAAGTGTACATCTAATGACATTATTTTTCTTATTGTTAACCTATTCCCAGTAAAGTCCAAAACCAACACTGAATTGATTGAAGTTTTGTGTCTGTGTAGCTTAAGCCTGATATAGCTTCCTCCTCTGTGCTCCTTTTTTGTCCAGAAACTATAAATGAAACATCAGCCACACTTTGGGAAACATTTACCTTCATTACATTGAGGCTGACCACTGTAGTTTATTTAAAGTCAATCCTACATACACATTTCATAGACTTTCTGTAAGCATCCCTTCAACATCTAAAAGCCAAAATCCTTTGGACAAAATTGTATCAAATGGTGGTCTGTGGTCTAATTCGTGTCAGTTTAGAGGTTGATGTGAAAATGTTTGTGAACCACTGTACTTTAGCATTAAATATTTATTAATATCATGTTGAAAATAATCCTACAGGCATTGTAGGGAAGTCACTGATAGATGACCTAACACAATGTCAACTCTGTTTGACAATTCAAATGTAAACAGTGATGTAATCCCGCAGTAGTATGTCTTGAAAACAAGAATTGTTTGCACCACTCCTATGCTCTTTGCTTCCTACACATTACATCTCAACAAGGTACCTTTAGTCTTTTAATCTGTGTTTTGCATAAAAGCTGCATGTTTGTTCTGCTGTGTTGCTAATTAGCAGTGTAATTACTCAGAGCAGCAGAGCAGAGAGAAACACCTCTATTATAGGGAATATTTCATTCAATTACACTCAAGTACACTTAATTAAAACACATCAAGGGACCAACTGTAGAAAACCAAACAAGCTCACAATGGGTTTACTCCACTCAACATGAATAAATATAAATAAATATGAAAGATAATTATCTTGTTCAGCTAAAGTTAATAGCTCAAAAGTATTTAGTGTGTGTATTATATAACTGTACCATACTGACGTTTTGATACCGTTTATTACAGTAAAAACAATAAAACAAAACAAGCAAAAAGTAAACACATTAAATAAACTTCCACTATTCTTACTTCACACTGTGGACCTCATGTCACCTCACGTGATCAGAATGAATGACCTTCCGCTGTTGTCTCTCGCCCTTGTTAAAGCTCTTTGAAATAGAACGGCGCCTGTGAGGAACCTCAGGAAACAATATTGTTTATATTGTCTTAATGTGCATTGTTGTTTACTCTCCACTCAGCCAATGATTCAGCTGGAGAAACCAGTGCTTACTGGTACCATGCCTGTGGTATGGCCTACCATCCTCGACCTGGGCAGGGATGAGTGCAAAAGAATTCTCCGTAAACTGGGTGAGGACATGCAGTTTAAAATAAATATTGGAGTACTGTCACTGCATTGAGTATTTTCACACACTTCGTTTATGCAACTTACACTCAACAAAACTATAAACG